ATCTGTAAGTAGGGTAAAGTTTAGATAAATCCATTAGGTTTTATTGTTGTATGGTTTGGGAATGGGAATCTAATGTCTGTGCATTTAAAAATGGGTTTCCATCTTCTTTGTAACTAAGCTCTTGGCCCATGGGAGATCCCACCATGAGTATATTAATTGGTGACTTTTCCATCTAGTCATTATGCTTATAACAGGAGTATTGTGGTGATAGTAAAAGTTCTTTCTCTTTCCTTTTTATTAACCCGGCATTGGTTAATTTGTGTGTCCTGGTGTTACTTTAGGGTTGAGATTTCCCAAGAGCTCTCTTCCCTGGTTTTCTAATCATTACTTGGGTAGTGGTAGCAGATTTTTATCCCCAAAATCTAGGTTTTTAAGTTTTATACCAAAGCCTGGAAAAATAAGGTTTTGGGATACTTTTGCAGGCTCCCACTTCTGCATTTATTGTGCCAGAGTGGGGATTAGGACTTGACAGCTCCCATTGGGATTTCTTTGCCACAGACACCTGCTTTTTGTTCACCACAGAGAGAAAGGTTTGCAGGGCATGACCAAAGCTCTGTGTTACCAGTTTCCAGAAATGACCTCTCTCTACTCAGGAGCATGTGTCACCCCTCTCTGCTAACGCAGGTGCAACGGGGCCCCGCCCGGAGGCAAAACAAGATGTCAGCAAGCTTGGGAGGGAGAAGTGACAAAGGTGACGTAGGTTCTTTCTAATTCTCCTCCAGCAGCAGGGAGGAAGGGATCAGTGCTTGTGAGGGGTTGGAGTCTCAGGAAAGAGTCTGCTTGCCTTGGTCTGCCGAGGTCTAATACACTGAAGGACGCCCTGAATGACAGACCAGCAGGGGCTAAGGAAACCTCAGTTGAAGTCTGAGTAAGATCAAAACAAACCCCAGATCATGACTTTGTTTGTGATACTTGGCCTGCACTTACAAATATGTCATCACAGGAAGAAAACCAACCTCTATTTCCAAATACCCTGCAAGCTTATGGGAAGGAACCAAGTGACCATACTTGACCTGGGAGCTGGGACAGGCCCAGAGGGTCACACGACAAGGTGAGAAATAGATGAACCCTGGCCTTTCTGTTTCTGAGAAGTACCTGAAATTTCAGCAGCTTTCCCAAAAGGCCAGCATCTGGCACTACCATGGAATCACACGGGTGATGTTTCCACTGTTTTCTGCATATGGCAGCAGTGCTGCTACCATGGAATCACACGGGTGATGTTTCCACTGTTTTCTGCATACGGCAGCAGTGCTAGTGCATTCAGAATTCCACAGACCCCTCCCCCTATGCTAAAAGAGGGAAGTTTTTATAATAAAAAGCAAATGAGGGGAGGAAGGCTCTTGAGCTGCTCAGGGCCCTAAGCAATTGTTTAATTTGCTTATTTCTAGTGCTGGCACTGTATGGCAGGGCAGCAAATACAGAACTAGCAGCTTGAGGATGTACCACGTGCCCGCAAAACTCATCAGTGTCAAGCAGCACCCAGGGCAGCCCATGGTGAATGCATGGCTCACCCATCTACCTCCTCAGCACAGCCCTCAGCTTTGCAGTGCCCCAGAGCGCCTTGCTAAAGATTCACTGGGATGGCACCTGATATTAAAGCTGATCTTGATGGTGGCATTTCTTCTCTCCAAAGCCACTAGCAACTGTCTGCAGCAATGGAATGCAGCCTGCAAATCGCTAGCTAACATCAGGGCTGTCATCTGAAGGGCCAAGCCCGTCTGTTTGATCCGAACTGGCTCTCTCCTTCCCACCACCATTTCCAGCTCGCTTTCTCGGATGTCTCACGCTCTTGCTGGAAAAAGAACTTGGAAAACAGAGAACCACTCTCTGAAGAAAACCTTCCCATGAGCTATTCCTTTTTGTACTGAAGGGCAAGTCTAGTGATACCCTCACACTTGTCCTCTTGCTCTGATGATGTTATTTCTACAGCAGCTTCCACATACCTGGGAGCTGACTGATTTCTTTTGGCTGCACTGTCCATTGCCCTCCAACAGCTTCCCCCGTTGTGCTGTTTTATGGCAGGCTGCACTGTCCATTGCCCTCCAACAGCTTCCCCTTGTTATGCTGCTTTATGGCGTAAAAGGCAGTAGATCTGCCCACCATGTGACATCCCTAGCACAGGGTGGGAGACACAAGCATGGAGGGGCTGAAGCACTATTACACTTCGGTTATTTTTCGTTAAGATCTGCCCACCATGTGACATCCCTAGTACAGGGTGGGACACACAAGCATGGAGGGGCCGAAGCACTATTACACTTTGGTTATTTTTTGTTGCTGCAATGTTCCCTGGGGAGCAGGTGCAGCTAAGCACATGTTAGAGAAGCCCTGAGACTAATTAAGTTACATCAGGGGTCAGAGGAGAGGGAGGCATAAAGTTGGATCCTTTCCCCCATTTCCATTCCTGTGCTAAGCAGGACTCTGGCAGCCCTCTGTCTCTATCCCTCTCTCACATTGCTGGGTGAACTGGTCTCTTTACAAATAGGAAAGTTTTGGAGTGTTTTAGGAGTGATAAAAGTCAGTTCACTCATGGAAGAAAAATCACATTTGTGAAAACAAAGTCAAAGGTTTAGCTGAGACTCAGCGAAGCCAGGAAATTCAAAACAACATGTTGTGCTTCCCTAGCCCCATCTGACCAAGGCTCTCAGAGCACTTTAAAAGCTTTAATTAAGCCTCCCAAGCTGTGTACGAAGGAAGTGCTGTCAGGGTCAGCCTGGAGCTAGTCAGGCAAAGATGGGGCAGCAATAAGAAGAGAATAATTCCTGCCACTGGAATAAACATTGACAAGGTGCAATCGCCTTTATTTTAGCAAATTCCAAAACATTTTAAACAAACATGGGATGACAGCGAAGAAGCCCACCTGGTCAGGATGTGGAATTCTGGACATGATGTTAGGCTCAGTGTTAAAATACCAGTAAGAATGCAACTTAACTGGGTGGTCACTGGGCCCCTAACGCCCTCACATCTCTCCCATTCAGAAACTGGAGACCTGTGCCTATTTATAGGGATTAGCACATCTAGCAGCCAAAGATAGTGCAAATTGTGATGAGGGGTTTGGGAAGTGGACTCGCTGAAGAACTGGGCTTTAGTCTCACCCCACACACACAATTCACGGCACAAATCAGAGGGCAAAGTGTTTCAATCGAGACCAATTGGATCTGGATTGGAGCCAGCAACCTAGAGGAAAAAAGGCTCTGTGTTCCATTAGCACCAGTCCCCTGTGCCAGCCTGTCCTTATTTGGTTTTAAGGTTGATTTGAGGGTCTGGTTTGAAAAAATGTCCTTGTAAGGCAAATAGAATAAACCCCCTGTTCATTCAGTTTTAATGAGAACTAACAGTAACTGCAGGGAATCAGGGCACAGGTGATCTTGCAAGTTAGAGAAATCAGTGATCATGTACACAAGAGCAGTGTTCCAGGCTCATGGTTCTGGGGGTCTGTCTGGCCATTCAGTGTACAGGGCAGACAGAGATTCTCTGTATTTAGGTTAGAACCACTGGGATCTTACTTTCTTGTGCTTCAGGGCTCTGAGGCACGCCTGACTGGCTCTGAATGCTGCTGTCCAAAGGACCGGTATAGCCTGGTGGGAGAAGCTCTGGGGTAGCAGAGATTAAATCACAGTTGAAATGCTGCCAGCACAGCGCCAGAATCCCCTGACTTCCCACTTAGGTATTAGTTATGTGCCCAGCTCTTTGCAAACCCAGGCAGCCCCTGCCCTAAGCAGCTTACAGGCGAGTGTGGACACATGCAGTGCCTTGCATTGAAAGAACTGGAGATTAATTTTGCCAAAGTCATTGCTGAAAGGTGCTGCATCATCCCAACCCTCCTGCCAGCCCCGGGGAGTTAGATACAGCTTTCTCCACAGTCAGCCAAGGAAGAGGATGGAAACAGAAAGACTAGCACATCAAAGCGATTACATGAATGACACTGAGCTAACTTGGCAGCTGCTATTTGCTTCTGTGATCCCCCAGTTCTGTACAACTCCCTTGCTGGGAGAATAAAACCTCCTTTCCTTGGACACCTTCACAAGCTTCTCTGTGTTTTCCCCATAGACTTCTTTTCAGTCTCAGCCAGCCCGCCCCTAACACAGAGCTTATCAGCTCTGTTCCAGGCCATAGCTGGTACATCTGCAGGGTTAATTAACAGTTGGGGCAGGATTCTCAGGTCATGTTTTTCACTGAGCGGCTTGTGATAGAGGGCATTGGACAGAGGTGTCCTGGCAAGGTTGAGGGTGGGTGTAGGCTAGGAAACAAAGGGACTTCTAATATTTGTTTTTGGGGTGCATTTAATGCACTAGATAGGCAGGGTTGGAGCGTTCTACTTATGCACCGCAGAAGCCCAGCAATAGAAGCAACTCTAAATCTCCTTCTCCCCTGCCTGGTTTGCTTCTGTGCCTCACTGCTGTCCTGGAGGCATCACCCTCTTGGAAGTGGAAGGGAGGCCAGTCTCCACAGCCCACTCAGATACAATTGCCAACAAGGAGGCCAGTTTGTGCCAACTGGAGTTGTGATTACTGAGGCAAGGAACCTTTCCCCTGAGGACTGGATTAAGACCAATCTACTCATCTCTCACAGACCATTCAAGAGTAAGTAGCTAGCAATGATTTTTAGTCATTATCTGCAACAGAGCCAGCCAACATAAGAGGGAAGTTGATCTGGTGGTGGCGGCTAAGACACTGGGTGCGAGAAGTCAGATTCAGGTCACAGCTCAATGACAGCCCAGTTGTGAGGCCTTAGGCAAGTCCCTTAGGCTGAGACTTGCAAAGTCACATCTGGAACGTAGATGCCTGATTTCCATTCAAGATAACAGGAATTAGATGTCCAAAGTAGGGATGTAAAGTGCAGTCAATTAACCGATTAACCGATAAGCAAAAGCTTATAGGTTAATGCTATAGACTACACTCATTTCCTTCCCCCTGGCCTTTGCCAGTAAAATTTTTAGCAGGCTGGCCAGCAGCCCAACTCCATCCTGGCTCACATCAGGTCCGGGACCTATCACTGCTCTGCATTTAAAGTGTATTAGGAGTCAGGTGGGCAGGGAGCCCGGCTCAGTTCCAGCTCACGTGGTCTATGGGAGCTGAGGCAGCCGGTCCTCATGGACCAGTTCCCACCTGGCATGCTGTGCTGCTGCCTCTGATAGAAGGGCAGCAGTGCGGAGTGACTGGGGGCTCCTCGGCAGTGGGGATGTAGTGCACTGGCTGCCGGCCTTGTCCCCAGGGACTATTGAATAGTCGACTAACCAATAAGAATTCATGAGGTTAATCGACTATTCAATTAACCGATATTTAACATTCCTAGTCCAAAGCCTTTTGAAATCTGCCTTGATGTCTCAGTGCCTCAAAGCTCCATCTGTAAAATGGAAACACTGTTTTCCTTCTTCATAGGGGTTTTACAAGTATAAATTGTATATATTAATTAAAAGCCTCAGAAACCAGTATTGTGGGAGGAGCACCATATAAGAGAGACAAGAAAGCTCCAATGTGTATTATCTTAGCCATCCAATCTTTCTCCTATCACTTTCTTACTTTGCCACCTTAAGGCGACTGAATGAAAGCACACATTTTCAAGGGGTCAGAACACATGATGGTAAAGAGCAGCACACAGTTCCATCGCCCGATGCTGCTCAAGTAATCAGTCCATCTTATCCTCCTTCAGATTATGCATTTCTTCCTCCCGATTGTTATGGTCAGAATCAGTGGGATCACCATCTTGAGGCCCTTTCAAATCCAGCCACAGCTCCGTCCCTTTCCTGTGATAGGCAGAGTCCTTGGAGGTCTGCCTGATAACAATGTACAAGCGGAAGAGAGCAATGACCAGGCCAAGGAATAGAATCAGAGGGTATACTAGGATGAAGTAGAGCAGTGATGGAGAGGAACAGATCCTGGAAGAAATTGTTGACTCTGCAAAAACAGAAAACAATTGAACACAGTAGCTAATTCTGCTAACTTCTTCTGTTGTTCAATATTCACAGCACTAATGGGCAATTACAGCCAATAACCCAGTGGTTATGGCACTCACCTGGGATGCACAGGACATGGGAGAACAACATTCATGTCCCTGCTTTTCCTTATTCAGAGCAGGGGCTTGAATGTAGGCCTCCCACATCAATCAATAGGGTGAGTTTCTGTCTCCCATGCCCTTCACAATGACATTTTAGTTTTTAGCAAATCAGCAGTTTCCAATGTCCTGCTTAATGCAGGTCACAGAAATTTCACCTGTGGTCTGCATTATCACAGATGATCATAATCTCCCTTTGGTGTATTCTAAGTAGATTGAAATTTCTTTCTTTCTTTTTGTTTTCCCCTTTATCCTATAAGCACCTGGACAAATTACTAGAGGCTGTTCCCTGAGTTTTGGCCTGTGTAGATTGGCTTTTTGATCTAGGACATGTCATGAAATAACTAGCCTGAAAGCCCATGTGATATAGCGGGCTAGGCAGAACCTAGAAGTCAAGCACCTGATATCTAGTCTTGGTTCTGACACTGACTTTCTGTGTTTCACTGGGAAAGTCACTTTGTGACTTTGAGGCTCAGTTCTCCCATCTGTAAAATGGGAGGAATTTATCCTCTCACATAAAAGTGAACATGCTTTGTGAGAATTCTTCAGGCCAGGCAGTGTTAGCACAAGGACAGCAATTTAAAATATCCAGACTGATTCCTCTAGACTACATGTACCCTCTGGGATGGCATCCTCACCAGGATACACATGAGGAGTACTTTCAAGTTTATGTGCTTCACTGGGAAAAATATCCCATCTCTTGGAATTTTTTGGAAAATCATATTTTTGAGGACACAAAATTATGTGGCAGAAATATATATGCAAATTCCATGGGAAGTTTTCAGCAATTTCTATTTACCCAGCAAAAACAATAAGGCTTAATAAATAATACTGACACAGGACTGGCTAGAAACATTCCATACAACCTATTTATGATGATGACTGAGATCCTAGCTGCAAGATAGGGGATGCATTACTGAAATCCTTAGAACCGCCCTAAACATACTGCATGTATCTGAAATCTTTGGTTTCGTTCATTCAGTTTCATTGCTGCAGATTCCCTCCACATTTCTGAATTTTATCCAACCCTCAAACACATCCCAGTTTACACCCCCAGCCCCACCCTCCGCAATGAAGGTTGTTCTCATAATTGGCTCCACTAGAAACAGACAGGACTGGAAGTATTACCACAAAACCCTGTTCCTGGGGGATTTCTTGGATTTTTTGCAATCTCTACATGTTCAGATGAACATCCAAGAGTTTAGCCAAACTGAATGAATGCTCTGGTCTTTCGGAGTTTGTGCCATAGACTGAGCCTAATGAGAACACAGGGTCAAGCTCCAAGATTTAGATCAGAACGGGGAGGGTTTTATCTAGCAAATCACTGAGCACTCAGCTCCAATCCAGCAAAGCACTTAACACAAGAATAGCCTGAGCACTCAGCTCCAATCCAGCAAAGCACTTAAGCACAAGAATAGCGCTTTTGAAGTCAGTGGGGCTGTTTGCTTGCTTAAAGCTCTGCATGTGTGTAAGTGCTTTACTGGACTGGAATCAGTGCTCTGCACCTTGCAGGCCCAAACCCAGATTTTTGAGGTACCCAGGCCCTGGGCTTGGCCTATTAGAGAGCCAAGGGACAGCGGTGGGCCTGAGTTTGGATTCCCGCTAGTAAATTCCAGAACATTCAGTTCTGGGGTATCTTTTGGGCCCCTTCTTCACTCGTTACCCTGCAGGGCTGGAGGCAAGGGAGAGGTTTGGGAAGCACTTCGTTGCAGATTGGTTACCTGCTGGAAGAATCTGCACAGTGACCTTCCCTGAGTCCCTTTTGCTCCTCTCATACCAGCCGCGCCCGGGGCTGAGCACCCACATCTCTCCATGGCACCGATAGTCCCCACTGTCAGACGCCTCAGGCCTGAGCAGCGTCAGTCTGTACTGCAACTCCCCGGGCCTCTCGAACCGCAGCCGGTTCCTGACGCTGCTGGTGGCGGCAGAGCCGTACTGAAACACAGAGCTGTGGTTCACACTGAATAACTCTTCCTTGCCTCCCTCAGTCAGTCTCCACCAGGTGACAGAGAAGGCTGTGCTGCTGTTGCCGGGTGATCCCAAGGTGAGGTTGCAGTCTAAGTGGAGGTCCCCCTGGTCCTCTTTCAGCACAGCTGCGGAGGCTGCAATGTGCACCTGCAGGTCCATAGCTATCGGCACAAGGAGAGAGAAGAGAGGCTTCAGGAGACTGGGCAGCTGTGGAACAAGAGCAACGTGACGTATATATTCTGCGTGCAGGCCCTCCTCCCTTCTTGTCTGGCCCCAACACGCCACCCAGCCGTACCCTGTGCACCTCTGGCCCTACATCCCCAATACAGCTCTGCCCCCTTTCCCTGCGGCAGGCGAGACCTGCAACTCACAGTACACTGGAGCCCTAGCTTGCAGTAGTCCCTGTTGTGCTAGTCATGCTCCCCTTTTATCACCCTCAGCCCTGGCGGCACAGGAACGTTGCTGAGATGCAGCAGACATTGGCTGGAGACGAGGAAGGTCATACACAGGGGAATAAGGAACAGGAAGGGTGAGGGGAGAGGGTTACCTGGCAGCAGCGCAGTGAGATAGGTGTACCCCGACAGTTCTGAGGCCCGCTGCACCCAAGCACCGCTGCCGTCCTGCTGCCACTCCTGCACCTGGCAGTAGTACACCCCAGCATCACCCAGCTCCACGCTCCGCAGAGTCAGGCTGAAGTCGCCGAGGGATGGGCGGCGCAGGGACAGCCTCTCCACCATCCCTGCCTCAGTATGCTCCACCATGCCCCTGGTGTGCACTTTCAGCAAAGTTTTCATCCCAGAGTGCTCCAGACCGTGGAACCAGATGGCAGAGAAGAGAGAGGCTGGTGGGAAGGGGCCCTGCAGCAGGCAGCTCATGGTCACATCCTCATCCTCAGAGGCGGAGATGCTGTGGTTTCTTTTTTCAACATGCAGCTTGTTTTCTGGTGTGGGAGGCAAGCGGAAAAAGCCTTCAATTAGAGCTCAAAGAGACACGCACAGGCATGTTCCAGACTGGTCTCTATACAGTACCTAGGGAGGGACGGTTGATGGCCTGTTAAAGGGCCCCGTTTAAGAACCGGAATCACATTATTTTCAGGACAATGAGTACTCCTGTGGCACCTTAGAGACCAACAAAAATACATGAGCTTTTGTGGGCACAACCCACTTCCTCAGATGAGTTTGAAGTGGGTTGTGCCCACAAAAGCTCATGATCCTATATATATTGTTGTTAGTCTCTATGGTGCCAGAGGAGTACTCATTAGTTTTACAGTTACAGACTCACACAGCTACCCCTGAGACATTATTTTCAGGGTTTGTGGGAAATCCTGTGACCCGCTCCTGTGTGAGGTGCTCAGGGCTCCTCCTAACTTCCTCCCATAGGGCTCAGTCAGGGCTCCAGCCTCTGCCTCCATAGCCCCTGCACTCTTGGGCAGGTAACCCCTGTACCACAGGGTTCCAGCCTGCAGGCCACGGAGAGGGCATGATGGGGGTTGGAAGAAGCAATCCCTATGGGACCATTCCAGCCTGCTTAATTGACCAAGGAAGGCCTCCCACCGCAGCCGTGTCAAGCATGAGCTCAGTGCAGCTGAGGATCCAGCCTTTGCTTCTTATGGACACACCTGCTGTGACAAAGCAAAGCCAATCTCATGCTTCAAGGATCCCTTCTGGGCCAGCATTTTACCTGAAATCTTGAATTCCAGCCTGGTCTTTCCCGATTCCTTCTTCCCAAGTTTGTACCAGCCATGGTCTGCTGACCAGAGCCACTCCTCTATCAGGCAGTAGTACCTGCCACGGTCACCGTGATTCACAGACAGAATACGCAGCCAGAAGAGGTCGTTGGAAACTCTCTCACTGTGGAATTTAGATTTCTGCATAGGAGAGCTGAACTCTGGCCCATAGTCCAGGATGTTGCTGTAATTGCTCCTCACGATTTGCAGTGGGGCTGCGTTAGCTGGAGAAAGCGGTAGGAAGTACCAGGTAACAGCTAACCACGGTCACCGTGATTCACAGACAGAATACGCAGCCAGAAGAGGTCGTTGGAAACTCTCTCACTGTGGAATTTAGATTTCTGCATAGGAGAGCTGAACTCTGGCCCATAGTCCAGGATGTTGCTGTAATTGCTCCTCACGATTTGCAGTGGGGCTGCGTTAGCTGGAGAAAGCGGTAGGAAGTACCAGGTAACAGCTAACTGAGAATCCCTCTGGGTCACTGTGCTACCAGAGAGCTCCAGGGTTCTATCTTTTGTGTCTACTTGTAGCTTGCTCTCTAAATCAAGTAAAAAACAAAGACATTACTATGGTAGCTACCAGCACTAGAACACCAGCAGGAAGGGGAAACATTCCCTGTAATGATGATTTACAAAGCCAGCACTGGGGCCTTAGGAGAGGAGAAACTAGAGGGAACAAGTCTGAAATTACACATAAAGGCTCTGTTCAGGTGTTAGAAATCACACACTCTGAAAGACACTAGGCCCAAATTCCCATCTACTTTCTTTTAGAGTCCTTGTAATGTTCCTGTAATTTTGTTTAAAAAAAACAAAACACCCCAACCTTTGAACATACTTTTCCTTTTCAAAGCCCCCCTGAGCAACCCTGCAATAACAAAGCTGTGTGTCCAACTCAAGTCTTCACACTCAACCCTACAAAAACAAACCTGCGCACATGCATTTAACCACTCAGGAGCAATCCTACAGCCATCCAATCTGGACAAACCTACCCATCCGACCATTGCTAAAGGAACGCACCGAAGAGTCTCAGAAGTCAGAGAGAGAAGAGCTCCAGGGCCACTGTTAAGGACTTGCCTGACTTGCAAGTGGCCAAGTGAGTCGCCACAGCACCCTGCCTCTGTTCTTTCAGACCAGATCCGTTCGTTACCCAGACCGCACAAGTTCAAACACATAACATCTTAGTGGGGGCTAGTTTATGAACTCATTTAATGGGGAGCAGGTTTAAAACTAATAAAAGAAAGTTCTTCTTCACACAGCGTGTAGTCAAGCTGTGGAACTCCTTGCCAGAGGAGGCTGTGAAGGCTAGGACTATAATAGAGTTTAAAGAGAAGCTAGATAATTTCATGGAGGTTAGATCCATAAAAGGCTATTAGCCAGGGGATAAAATGGTGTCCCTGGCCTCTGTTTGTCAGAGGCTGGAGAGGGATGGCAGGAGACAAATCGCTTGATCATTGTCTTCAGTCCACCCTCTCTGGGACACCTGGTGCTGGCCACTGTCGGCAGACAGAATACTGGGCTAGATGGACCTTTGGTCTGACCCAGTACGGCCGTTCTTATGTTCTTATTCTACAGAGGGTAATGTCTTTCAGCACTTAAGTTTACATCAACTTTGGGCCCAGGTAAGAGTCCTGGCAGGTAGTTTTCTTCCCTGCTGAGGTGATCCTTGCCCTCCTCCCAGAGATGGCTTGTATGTCAGACCCTCTCTCTCTTTAAGTCAGGAGTTGGAGTTATAATTTAGGCCAGCCATCTTCTCTTCCAGCTGGCCCTTTTCCCAGCCAGTCCGTTCACGCTCAAGCTAGGAGAGCGCAGCAGGGACACCACGTCTCTCACCTACTCTGAGGATAGAAACTGAACATAAATAGACCTCTTCCCAGACCATGTCCCAAGTGACTCGGAAAGAGCAGTGTCCTGCCTCACCCACTCTGTAAGGGTCCTGGTCCTAGGCCTTAAAGAAACAACAGCCTGGAAGGCTGCCTTGCCTTGGAAGCAAGTCCCAGAACTTAAGGGTCACACCACTGAAGAAGTATTGACCGACCACTACAGTCCCTACTACCCTTAAGGGGATGGTCACCCTGTTACAGCCACCCAGCCATCTCTGTGCTCAGGCAGGATTGCTCCTTTCCAGGCATATTTCCCACATTTTGACATTGCCAATACCGTTTAGTTTTAAATTGTGTCATGTGATGGGGCTTCCAGTCCTTCCCTTGGCAGACTGTTCTGCTATCTCACTGCCATCCCTGAGGGCGTGCCGGGCTTGGAGCATTTCCCAGGCACAGGGCCTGGGACAAGCCCCTTGATGCAGGCCTTGTGCTCTCTGCTCCACAGCCACTGCACCTCCCCCCCCCCCCTTTCCTCCAGGCCCCCCCTCTCCCTGCCCCTGTTCTGCCCCCTTGTCCCTTCCACTGCACGGCACAAGCCAGGGGATTACTTGGGGCCAGGATGCTCTGCTTCCTGCTGCCATGGAGAAGCCAAGTGCAGCAGGCTGGGAGAGGGCAATTGGGCAGATGGGGTGGAGCAGGCTGTGGGGCCACTTTGGCTCTTGCTGATGTGGTAAGTGCAAGGGAAGGGGAGGTGACACCTGTTTCCACCCCATGTCAGGCCCCCAGGTAATCCCTTCAGTCCCTCCATAGGATAGTTGAAGCAGCTGCTGCAGGGCTCCCGCCCCCAAAACAGAGGGGCTAGGACAGCTGCCCCAAAACCAACCTATGGGTGGGACGGCTCTGCCCCAGCCGGTCAATCCCATTATTTCTAGCCATACCCCTGTGTACCATCCCAAACAATTTATCGTCATTCTTGATGTTTATCCCCTGTACACAGTGGCAGATGGGCCCTCCCAGTGGCAGTGTGGGCATGGGACTGATGCCACAAGCTGACAATGGAGGGACACACAGAGGGAATGCAGATCCCCCTGGTGCCTGTCCTCTTCGGCAGAGCAACGGGGTGGGGAGGTGAAGCTAAATTAGCACAAAAGCTTAGCTTTGGAAATGGAACATTGAGGGCCTTTCCTCTCAGACAAACGAAAGATCCTGCGTGGGTTTCACTAACACTTCTTGCCTCATCTGTCTGCCTTGGTTAATAACTAGAAAGTCTGGTAATGTGTTTCTGAATAGTCCTAGTCATTATACCTGGGAATTGTTCAATTAAGCGCAGAACGGCACTAGTGCAAACAAAAGAAACATCCTAATCCTTCTTCAGTTCTGCGTCTCTCTCCCATTGGAATGATATGGAGGTGCATCCTGCTAATGCAGTATCTGTTTATGGGGCTTAGTTTTTATTGTATCAACTGTTGCTAATTCAACTAAAAAAACAATAAAAAAAGCAGTGAACATGCAGTTCTCCGATCCCCCATGCATCCCTCCCCGCACACCCTGCTTTCTAAAGACCCATTTATTTGAGACATGGAGATCATGTCTTTTTGGGACTTTTCTCCTTTCCTTTCTTTCCCTCTTCTGTTCATCACCCTAGACAGCGGGAGCTTAAGATATAGCGAAACTCTCTCATCCCAGATGTGACGGTCTGGCAAGGGCGAACCTGCTGATATAGATGGTTCCTGCATCCTGACTTAGACACCCCCTCCCATTACTCATACATTGGGACAGATATACCCTTTGCTGGTCTCCAGGCACAGATGGCTGAATGACATTGTCTAGGGATGACGGAAATCAGCTCTGGGGTCTTTAATCCCACCTAACTCAGAGAGTCGTTATCAATGGTTCACAGTCATGCTAGATGGACATAACAAGTGGGGCTCCACGGGGACCAGCATTGGGACCTGTTCAATATTTTCATCAACAATTTAGATAATGGCATTGACTAGAGAGTATGCTTATAAAATTTGGGGATGATACCAAGCTGAGAGGGGTTACAAGTGCTTTGGAGGATAGGATTATAATTAAAAATTATCTGGTTCAACTGGAGAAATAGTCTGAGATAAACAGGATGAAGTTTAATAAGGAGAAATGCAAGGTACTCCACTTAGTAAGAAATAATTATTTTCACACATACACAATGGGAAGTGGCTGTCTAGGAAGGAGTACTGCAGAAAAGGATCTAGGGGTCATGGGACATTGTGTGGAAAAAAAAAAAAAAAAAAAAAAAAAAAGCAAGCATCATTCTGGGATGTATTTGCAGGAGTGTTGTAAGCAAGACACGAGAAGTTACTCTTCCCCTCTACTCTATGCTGATTAAGCCTCAACTGGAGTATTGTGTCTAGTTCTGGGCACCACATTTCAAGAAAGATGTGGGGAAATTGGAGATGGTCCAGAGAAAAGCAACAAAAATGGTTAAAGATCTAGAAGGCATGGCCTATTAAGGGAAAATTGAAAGAACTGGGTTTGTTTAGTTTGGAAATAAGACGACAGAGGGGCCATGATAGTAGCTTTTAGGTACCTACAAAGGGTGTTACAAGGAGAAGGGAGAAAAATTGTTCTCCTTGGCCTCTGATGATAGGATAAGATGGGCTTAAATTGCAGCAAGGGCTGTTTAGGTTGGACATGTTAGGAAAAACTTACTACAGTAAAACTCCATTAGTCCGGCATCCAATGCTCCAGCACTTCTGATGGTCCGGCACCATCAGGAAGCTGGAAGTGCTCAGGGCAGCCAGACAATTGGAGCTGCTCTGCACCTGGCTTCCCTGATTCAGCCACTGCTGCAACTGACCAGCAGCTGAATCGGGGAAGCCGG